CATTCTCATGGAGGGAATAAAAGTCTGGAGGGATACCTTGAGAGTGAAGGATCTCAGACCCAGGCCCGACTGCACAGCCCAGGGTTCCAACACCAGGAAGATAAATCTCCATAACTTCTGGCTGCAAAAACCAGTGGGGGGTGGAGCAGCAGAAGAAACTGCTAGATTTTCAAGAGACTCTACTTAATGGGCCAGCGTGGTCTTAGAGCAAACCCACCCACTCAGCACCAGGGCAACAGCTAGAAGGGCAGCAGTCACATATGGGGGAGGGAGCGAAATAACAGGAAGTGGGGCGAGTGCTGGGCAAACCCCCAGAAGCCAGACAGCAGCACTGTCCCCTCTCTGAATGCTCCCCCGACACAGAGCCACAAAGCAGTGATGCAGGTTGTCCCACCCTGGCAATTACCTAAGGCTTCGCCCCACACGATTTACAGGCGCCTTTTCTACAATATACCACGCTACTATAAGACAGGGAGTCAAAGCAGTTCTACCTAATACACAGGGAGCAACGAACACAGGGAGGCTGCCAAATTGAGGAGACAAAGAAATAAAAGAGAACAAAACCCCAGAAAAAGAACTAAATGAAATGGAAATAACCAACTTATCAGATGCAGAGTTCAAAACACTGGTGATCAAGATGCTCAAAGAACTCACTGAGTATAGCAGCAGCATAAAATAGACCGAGGGAGAAATGAAGGTTACATTAAGTGAAATAAAGAAAAATCTATAGGGAACCAACAATGGGGGGTTGATGCCAAGATTCAAATAAATGATTTGGAACATAAGGAAGAAATAAGCATTCAACCAGAACAGCAGGAAGAAAAAAGAATTCAAAGAAATGAGGACAATATAAGGTGTTTTGGGGACATCTCCAAATGTACCAACGTCTGAATCATAAATATGCCAGAAGAAGAACAGCAAGAAATTGAAAACTCACTTCCATAATTTGGTGAAGGAAATATACATACAAGTCCAGGAAGCACAGAGAGTCCCAAAGAAATTGGACCCAAAGAGGGACCATACCAAAACACATCGTAATTAAAATGCCACAGGTTAAAGATAAAGGAAGAATCTTAAAAGCAGCAAGAAAAAATAAGGGAGTTACCTACAAAGGAATCCCCCTAACACTGTCAGCTGATTTTTTGAAAGAAACTTTGCAGGCTAGAAGGGACTGGCAAGAAATATTCAAAGTGATGAAACCTACAACCTAGATTGCTCTACCCAGCAAAGCTATCATTTAGAATAGAAGGGCAGATAAAGCGCTTCCCAGACAAGGTAAAGCTAAAGGAGTCCATCATCACCAAAGCCATTATTACATGAAATGTTAAAGGGACTTATTTAATAAAAAGATCAAAACTATGAGCATTAAAATGGCAACAAATTCACAACTATCAACAACTGACTCTAAAGAAACAAACTAAGCAAACAACCAGAACAGGAACAGCATATATGGAGATCACATGGAGGGTTATCAGCTGGGAGGGGGAAGAGAAAGAACGGGCAAAAAGGTGCAGGGATTAAGGAGCATAATTGGTAGGTATAAAATAGACAGGGGGAGGTTAAGGATAATGTGGGAAATGGAGAAGCCAAAGAACTTACATGCACGACCCATGGACATGAACTAAGGGGGCCATTGCTGGATGGAAGGGGGTACTGGACAGAGGGGGGCAAAAGCGGAAAAATTGCGACAACTGTAATAGCACAAAGTATATTTTTAAAAATAAATTAATAATAATACATAAGCATATGTGTTATTAAAAAATTTAAAGGAATGACAATTTTCTACAACATTAAATACTTGTATTTGCCTCATCGAATTTTATTCTCATTAAATTGATACTGTAGGCTTTAATCTGTTCTAAATTAGTAGTCACAAGAGCTAAAAGAACAGAAGGCACTGTTTCTAAAATTGTTTTTCAAGATTTGTCCATGTTTTAATCATTGGAATGTTTCAAACGAGAGTAAATGTACAAAACATCACTTGATTCTGAACACACAAATCATGTTTCAAATTAATTGTTGATCCTTACATATAAATAATGGTAGTCTGGATTCAAGAATAGGCTTGAAAAGTGACTAACTAGGTAATATTAAAAGTCTTTCTTTCCAAAATTTCACCTCCTCCATAATGTCTTTTTCAGCTTCACCTCTAATTGCCTGAGCAGGAAGTCCGATCTCCCTTCTCTGCACGCCCATTCATCCAACAGAGATCTCACCACTCTAATTTTTGATTTGGTTGTTTAGAAGACTGTTATTTCCCATCGTAGGTTGTAAGCAACTGGAAAGCAAGGCCCACATCAGATTTACCTTGATTTCGTTTTTAAAATACAAGCAACACCCAGTATCTATTTTTTAAGAGCTGTGTATTTACTAGTGTTCAGTGAACTGCTACGTTTTAATATTCCAGTTTTATAGTTTCTTGTGACAATACTTCCTCAGCTAATAAACTGATTTTAAATGTTTTGTACTTAGATTACATGTGAAATTTAAAAACTTTAAACCTTATAACTGCACAATTTATTACTAAAAATGTATACCCATTACAAATAAGTGAATTTGCTGTTGGTTTATTAACTGTCAAAAGGGTTTTTTAATCTTAGTTTTTGATTCTCAAATCCTATGCAGTAAGAAATAAATTTATTCATGTTGTTGCATGTATTAATTGTTCATTCATTTTTATTGCTCAGTAGTATTCTACTATATGGATATACCACATTTATATTCTCTTGTTAATCAATATTTGGGTTGATTTCAGTTTTGCGATATTACAAATATCTCAAAGCGATGAATATTCATTGTACAAATCTTTGTATAAACATATGTTTTCTTTTCTCTTGGGTAAATACCTAGGAGTGGAATGGTTGGGTCACATAATCAGGTGCATGTTTAACTTTTTAAGAAATCACCAAACTGTTTTCCAAAGTGGTTATACATTAATTACATCCTCACCATCAGTGTGAGATCCAGTCCTCCAAATCTTTGCTAAACCTTGCAATTGTCTCTTTAATTGTAGCTATTTTAGTGGCTGTGAAATGGTATCTCATTATGGATTTAAAAAAAATTATTTAGTGATTTGAGAGAGACATCAATTTGTTGCTCTACTTATTTATGTAGTCATTGGTTGCTTCTTGCATGTGTCCTGACTAGGGATTGAACCCATGACCTTGGTGTATCAGGGATAACACTCTAACCAAGTGAGCTACCCCACCAGGGCTCACTTAATTTGCATTTCATAATGTCCAGTGAAGTTCAGCATGTTTTCATGTTTATCTATAACTCCTGTCTTCCTTGATGAAATGACTGTTCAAATCTTTTGATCACTTTTAATTGGATTGTCTTCTTACAGTTGAGTTATAAGAGTTCTTTCTTCTAGATACAAATCTTCACTTCTAAAAGAGAAAGGCAACTACTTTTTTTAAATCCCTAGCCAAGGATATGCTTTTATTTATTTTAGAAAGAAAGGTTGGGAGTTTGGGGGAGGTGGGGGGAGGGAGAGAGAGAGAGAGAGAGAGAGGCACACCGATGTGATAAAGAAACAGCGATCCAATTGCCTCCCACGTGTGCCCTGACCAGGGATCGATCCCGCAGCGTTTTTGGTGTACAGGGTGACATTCCCACCACCTGAGCCCCTGGCCATGGCTCCTTCTGTATTTTTATTTGATTTCTCTGTCTCTTAGACTATACCCTTTTGTTTGTATGAATGTTTCCCTGATCAGACTAAATAAAGCAAACCATCTAGTACAGTGCCTACTGTATGCATACTGCTATTCTAACTTCCTTGATTCTCTCCTTTGCTTTTAATTCCAATCCATGTGTTTTCCTTTAATCCTCTCTTCTGCCCTTTCCAGCACCCACATCATCACCTCTACTGCGATTCATCTGCTGATCCCAAATGAGACTATTTGGTGACTCTGTAAGTCACCTACCATACTTCTTCAAAGACAACAAAATGCACTTTGTGAAACTCAGAACAGCAGAGATTCTGCTGAGTGCAAAAGTAAAACCTCTGCAGGGGAGCCCAGCCTGCGGCCGCAGGCGCATGCAGCCCAGGTCGGCTGTGAACGCGGCCCAACACAAAATCGTAAATTACTTAAAACATTATAAGATTTTCTTGTGACTATGTGTCACAGTGTATTTAATGTGTGGCCCAAGACAACTCTTCTTCTTCCAGGGTGGCCCAGAGACACCCCTGTGAGTATCCATGTAAATAAGTACTCTCTGCCAGAATAAAGCACACACAAAATTATTTTTTGAACTTTACCATTTAAGACTTCAGTCTCTCCAGTACTGCAAGAACCTCCAAGGAATCTTTCCCAAACAAGAGCCAATCTGGGGAAGCTCTGTGGCTCAGGAGGCATCCCCTCCAAAGGCAGAAGATACAGAAAACAAGTATGCAGAACCAAAGCTACTCATTTTAAACCATGGAGAGAAAACACATTTAAGTTCCTTCAATATCTTTTTATATAGATATTAAAAGAATAACTTCATACATTTTTAAAATCTTCATGAGACACATTTATCCTTCAGCAATGCTTTAGTGTCGAACCCAAATATGAAACTAGCTCTTCGAGGGCAGCACCAAAATGGGACCAACAGCAGATCGTACTGGCGATCTCGACACGGCGTCAGGACACGGCGAGCCGGAGGGCGAAGAGTGCTTCCCGCCCGCAACGATGCCACAGCTAGCTGTGCTCCCCAAGTCAGGGCAATTCTCGGCACACGCCCAACGCTCATCTTATTTCGACATTGTTTTTAAAAAGGCCCAATATCAAAAGAATAAGTTTCCTCTGGAGAGGAAAAAAAGGATAATTTTGGCTTATTAAAGATAATATCTATTGATGAAAAATTTAATGATTGGCTTCAAATCCATTTTTAGTAACATAAACTATGTGAGCTTTATTATATTTTCAAGAAAATAAAGATATTATGACACAAAACTTATTTTTAAAGTTACAATAAAACACTTTTTCATACATACAAAAATGTAAAATGACTGGTGCTTTTTCAATGAAGATACCAGATATAACATTTACAGACCAGAGAAAACAAGGATATGTTTAATGATTTCAGTACTGTTCCCAGGTCACCTTATTGAACGATACATCATGAAATCAATAGTTGTACATCTAGGAAATTTACCGATGGAGCTCTCCTCCACTGGTGTGTATATTTTAATCTGTCTCATGTGGGTGTCTCTTCCATTTTGGTGATTGGCTAGAACAGCAATCTGTATCATGAATGTGCGAGTTGGCTTCTTATGATTATCAGTTAAGGGAACATGAATCCAGCCACTTGGTTCCACCAGTTCAAGTTGCTGCCAGGAAAAGAAAAGTCAGATTAGGTTTTCACCCAATGAATATAATTTATTATAATGAATACATTCTACAGCTGACTTATCTGTGGATGGTGTCAGATGGGTACTAGACTTATTAGGGTGATCACGTTGTAAGTTATGCAAATGTCTAACCACTATGTTGTATATCTGAAACTAGTATAATATTGTAGGTCAACTGTAATTTAAAATTATAAAAATTTTTAAATAGAATAAAAAAGTAAAACTGACTTAAAAATTGACCTCTTGCTCACCGAGAGAATGACAATATGGTAATAACCATTACCAGTTACTGGACACTTACCATGGTTTCTTTTTACAGTTGCTAAGCATATTACATGTACCATCTTAGTAGCCAGTCTTAGTGTTAGAGTCAGACATGTATAAATGTATACACCCAATCGAAGACCATGCTGATATAAGTGGGAAAAGAATCTAACATGCTTCTAATATATTTTATTTTAAGGAACATGCCTCCAAACTCATATAACAATCAGATTCTATATAAATTACAAGGATATTAACAAAAGAAAATCAGTCATTAAATAAGCATCAGACAATTCAAACAAAGCTTTCTTTCCTGGACATGGTTAGTAAGTGATCTAGTGATCTATTTATCTATTTATCTATTTTTCTATTCCAGATGATCATCTAAACCTAAAATCTAGATTTTAAATGTTCAACAAGAAATGCCACATAATTGTTTTTAATTTTTAATTTTATTTTAAACAATGGTCCAAAATGTCCTTACTTAACAAGGAAAGGAAAATCGTGAGCCAAAAGGTAAACCGAAGTTTCTAAATATTTTCCAAAAGTGATGAAGTACTTTTAAAAAATAAAAATTGATTTTTAAATTATCTTAAGTATTGGAGAAAAATGAACTATATGCATTACAAAAACAATAGGTTTATCTTAACACAATCAAAGGGCAATGAGTGTCAAAGACTCTGAATTGGGGTTCCATGAGTTACCCTAGAAAACAATTAAACGCCTGCCACTGTATCTTCTTCTTTTGCTTCCCTTCCTCCCACTTTGCTTTTTTCTTTCTTCCTTTTTTCATTCTTTTTCATAACTTCTTTCCTTTCTTCTTTATTCTTTCTTTCTTTCCATTTTTTTAAAATAAAAATGGTAGGAAGAGATGCAGCAAGAGAGCTATCATCTTTAAAAAGGTAGTTAGTGTTTAACACTAAAAGAGTTCCTCCTTTTAACTATAAAACAGAAGAATAATTGAAGTTTAGATCAGTGACATTTCATGAACCTCCGTTAGCACTAACTCAAAATGAGTGCATCAGAAACCTGGTTTCTATCACTAACCTTTTATTCATTCGGGGCACAAATAGCTACTGAGTACTTAAAATGTTCAAGGTATTGTTCTAAGTATAGTTAAGCATACAAAGCATGAATAAGGCTTGTTCCAAACCTTAAAAAAAAGAAAAAAAAAAGACTAAGAGTCAGACAAACGTCCTCTCTGGCTTCAGCCAGTTTCTTCATGTATAAAATAAAGGCAGTGGACACGTTATCATCCCATGTCCCTTCCAGCTCTGACAGAAGGCAGATGTCCCCGTCGTTCCCTTCCCCCGAACCTGTGACTATACTGACTTGCACGGCAAAAGGGACTCTGCATATGTTACTAAATTAAAGATCTCGGGATGGGAAGGTTACCCTGGATTACCGGGGTGAGCCCAGTGCAATCACAAAGGTCCTCACAAGAGGAAGCAGGGGAGACGGAAGAGCTCTGAGGACAGACGTTACGGCTGGAGGGATGCACACAGGCCAAGGGAGGCGGGCAGCCCCCAGAAGCTGGAAGGGGCAACACACAGCTCTCCCCAAGAATCTCCAGCAAAGAATGCACCTTGCTGACTCCTTGATTTTAATCCATTAGACCCCTTTTGGATTTCTAAGGTCCAGACTGTAAGATAATAAATTTTGTTGTTTCAAGCCACTAAGTGTGTGGTAATGGGTTACAGCAGAAAGAGGAAACTATTATAATAGGTACTCATGGGATTTCAAAGGAGGAGGAAAGCACTCCTGGTTGAAATAATCTTCTCTCCAGGCAGATGTACAATAATGAATCTCAATAATGAACAAAAAGTAAAACCAAGATTCTAAATTCAGCTCCTTACTAATATAATGTTTTTGACAAATTTAGCCATTATTTCTAACAGATGCAAAGTTATTTTTAGAGTACTTATATTTTACATACTTCAGTGCACAAAAAGCTGTATTAAGATTTTAAAGCATACATGATTTTTGGCATGATATATACAGAATTATAAATGCAGTAAGTTATTCAACAAATACAATTAATAAACTGTTTCTTTAGAACATATCATAAAGTTTATTGATCTCAATGATGAAAAGTACATTACCAAGTATATATAGCTGTTAACATCTCTCAAGCGGCCTCATCACCAACTATATTGCCTGGAAGTCATAAACACCACCTCTTATGTCTACTTCACTGCTATTGTGCCCAGTTTAAAATTCTCATAATCATCTCTAAAAAGTTATTGTAAACTCATTTCATAGATATAAAAACCCAAGTACACACAGTATATATAAATTTAATTTTCTGTAAATGTTTGATTGAGATTAATATATTTTAAGTAAAAAATTATTTATGTGAGTTTTTATATTTTATACAGAAAATTAATGAAAGGCAAAATTTTGCCAAAGTAGCTTTCTCGTTTTTTCTCCCACTTCTGGTTTGGACCTCAGTAAATGAAAATTTCATCACCATTAAGATATAATTTTTTTGCCCTGGCCAGTGTGACTCAGTTGGTTGGAGCACTGTCCCATAATCAAAAGGCTGTGGAGTCAATTCCCGGTCCCGGCACAAACCTAGGTTACAGGTTCAAACCCCAGGCCAGACGTGGGTGTGTGTGACCCCAGGTCCTGATGAACACACTCCCTGGTTTGGGCACCAATCCCCAGTCCGGGCGCATGAGAGGCAGCCTATCGATGCTCTTCTCTCGTATTGATGTTTCTCACTCTCCCTTTCTCTCTCACTTCCTCTCTCTCTAAAAACAATTTTTAAAAACGTCCTCGGGTGAGGATAAAAAAAAAGATAACATTTTTTCCCGTATTCCTCTTGATTCTTTCTTCCTGCCAACTCCCACTTTTGGCTCCTTTCTACATATAGTCAGTCATTCACTTGAAAAGTTTTCTTTCTTTTTTTAATGTTTCACCTGCTAGTTATCTGCATCCCATTCTAATCTGAATTTTGTCCCACCACTAAAACTAGTCTTGTCAAAGTCACCAATGATCCCCTATTTTGCCAAATCAATTCCTTCTAAGAACAGTTCGTTCATACAGCTTATTATTGTATCCTGGATTTTATCGAATCATGTGCCTGACCAAGACCTATTTCTATTTTGAATAGGCTTTTAAAGCTCTATATAATATTGTAGTTTAAACATAATTTTATATACAAAAATATATAACACGGTTTACTAAAGCTAGTAAAAGAATGTTGTAAATGACAGAAAAAGAACTGGTAATTCAGTAAAGATTGATAAATTTAAAGATTAATAAAGTTTAGACTTACTAATGCTAAGCTAATAGGATAGTTGAAATTGTCATATATAACCAATGACTTCAAGTACCTGAAGTGGACATATGTTGATGATTTAACATTTTATATCTCCTTCTTAACAGGCAATTTCTGAAGGTACCAGCAGGAGAATAGCACAGATCTAGAGCTAATGCTCGTCCCTGCTCACCTCTTCAGCTTCATTTTAAATAGTCTTTTTCCTAATTTCAGTTATATAACCTGTCATAATGCAAAAATAAATTTACACTATGAAGTAAACTGATTCTGAAAATATTCCAAAGATCAAGAGATGGCAAAGAGATATTAACTGTATTTCATTTAAAATGTGTCACCTGTCATGTGCATGTAAGCAAAAAATTTTTTAATTAACTGAAATTAAATGAGGTGCTTGGAAAAATAAGAAAACAAGAGATAGAAAATAAGAAATTCAGTGGCTCAATGAAGGAGGTATCACAGCTCACAAATGTGAAGTCAGAAAGAGAAAACAGAGAAGAAAAATGTGAAAGAACCTAAGAGCACCTCCCGGAGTTGAAGAACAGGTGTCTCCTCACTGATGGCACCCACGAAGCACCCAGGACAATGAAGGAAACCACACACACACACGCACGCACGCACGCACGCACGCACGCACGCACGGCATAGCATCAGGGCATTTCTAAACATTGAGGATAAGGCTACAGAGAAAAACAGGTCACATGCAAGACAGCGAAAATCAAGTGTTCCTCAACATTTACACTGAAACTATGAAGCAATGGAGAACACGCTTAAAATTGATGAAAAGTTACTTCCCAACTAGAATTCCATACCCAGATAAATCATCCGTTGAGAGTGAGATGAAAATAAAAGTTTGCAGTCATGCAAGGCTTCAACAATTTTACCTCCCATGTGGATTATGCATTCCACCAAAAAAGGAAGTAAATCCAAAAGAAAAAAAAAATGAAGACCTGGGATCCAGGAAAGAAGGGATCTACCAAAAGAGGTGAAGGAAATGTCCAGGGTGATGTTGAAGGGATACCTTAAGAAGGCAGCTGTTGGGCCAGGCCCTCTGAGAAACAGACACCCGGACCTGAGTATACACACCAGGTATTTACCAGAACTGTCTTTGAGACCGAAGGGGCAGGGGGAGGCTGGAGGAGCTCTCAGGCAGTGATGCAGGTCTCCCCAGGCCGGGGAGGAGGCCGCGGAGAAAGGAAGGCTGGGGGCACCATGTCAGACTCAGTGCGGTGCCAGGGAAAGCTGGGCAAGGCTCTCTGGAGCTCCTGGGGCCCCGCTGCCTGTCAGGAAACCCAGAGGCACCCGCAATGAACCGGGATCCGCAGCCCTGCCGGGCTTACTCACTGGCTGGAGGAAGATGGTGGAAGGCAGGCTCGTGGCACTGCCTGCGGTAATGAAGCTCCGAGAGCAGCCGGGGCCATCGGTCCGCCACTGC